CCCTCCCCGGCCCTCCGTCCCCTCGCTGCCCCTCCCCGCCCTCTGTCCCCCTCGCTGATCCTCCCTGGGCCTCCGTCCCCCCGCTGACCCTCCCTGGGCCTCTGTCCCCTCGCTGACCCTCTCTGGGCCCTCCACAGGCCTCACGGAGCCCTCGCTCATCCGGCTGGACGTGGACGCCAAGCTCAATGAGCAGCTCAAGGTGAGGCAGCTGCAGGTCCCACTCTCTCCCCCGTCCGCAGCTGGGACCCCAGAGCCAGCTAACATTACCCTGCCTCCCTCTCCCCACAGACCACCTTCCTCCACGTGCGTGAGGACACCAAGCCCGGCGTGCTGCTCCACCTGCTGCGCAATGTCGTACGGCCTCAGGACCAGACGGTGGTGTTCGTGGCCACGAAGCACCATGCCGAGTACCTCACAGAGGTGAGTGGGGGCCCCCCACCTGGCCCTGCTGGGACCCAAGGGGCCTCCCTTGAGCTCAGGCTGCAATCCCGTGTGCTGCCACCAGAGGGCAGCACCAGACACCAGCAGGAACCTAGCTCTTGACAAACATGCCTGCTATTAGTGCGTTTTGCAGAGGATTCATTGTTTGTAAATTGAAGGTTTGCAGGAACTCTCCATCAGGCAGATCTGTAATTACTAATTTTCCAACAGTATGTGCTCGCTTTGTGTCTCTGTGTCAGATTCTGGGATTTCTCAGCCTTTCAAACTTGGGTAGATTGTTGAATGGCCCGCCATGGCTGTCTCCTCGCTTGTGGCTGTCGGCGACCCTCTGTGGGGTTTCCCGAGCTGCGGACAGTTACAGAGAGAGGCTGCTCGTCCTTCTTGAGGAGCAGCGTTTTGGTTGCCCAGCGCACGTGCACCATGCCCCCAGGACCGCTTTGTCAAAGATGACAGTGTCGCGGCACAGTGCCTTTCACCAGCACTGGGAGACCCACGCCCACGGTGACTCGCTCTGTCACCTCCAAAACTACACTGAAGTGCAGGAAGTGACATCACACCCTCACCACACCACACCACACCACACACACACCCTGTTCCTGCTAGCCAGGTACAGCAATTACCAGCTCCCACACCTGTGTGGGGAGCTCTGGCGGCTTAGTGGTAAGGAGCTACGCTGCCAACAGAAAGGTATACGGTTCGAATCACCAGCTGCTCCATGGGAGAAAGACGGGCAGTCTCTTCCCATGCGATTTACTGCCTCTGAAAACTCACTGGACGGTCAGAGATGAGTCGGTCCCGACTCGACAGTGTCCAACAGCAAGAATATACCTGTTGACCGGTGGCTGACCGAGGTGTGGCCCCGCAGGCACTGGTGTACCTGTGCACACCTCTAAGGCGTGGCTGTGTCCCACGCCCCCGAAGGCTGCCAGGCCCTCTGCCCGTTCCACCCGGCTCTGCTGAGCCCTGGCTTTTATCGGTGGACACGGCTCACTGGGCTTCAGTCACTCGATGTGTTCAGTGGGGCAGCTGCTCAGGCCGCCCACAAATCAGGTGGAATCAGGCCTTTTTGAGGGATAGTATGTACTTTCCCAATGTCCCAGGCCCTGCACTCAGTACCAGATAAACATTAACTCAGAAAGTACTTGAGCTCACCTGGATCCCTTGAGGAAGTAAATGGAAGCACAGAGAGGTTAAGTTACTTGTGAAAGGTCACACAGCCTGTTAGAATCCAAGACTGTTCAGGATGAGACTTGTCCCTCAGGTGGCCCCCGTAGAGAGGTAACATCAGCATGGTGTGTACTAACAGGGACCCTGACCTGAATCATCTAGCAGAGATGGGGTGCAAAGCCAAGGTTCCAGGCTCCAGGCCCTTGATCTTGTCTGCCACCAGGGCCAGCCCCCCTCCTCTCTGTCCCTTATCTCTCATCCCCCCCGTTTTGTCCCCACACAGCTACTGACCACACAGGGGGTGAGCTGTGCCCACATCTACAGCGCCCTGGACCAGACGGCCCGCAAGATCAACCTGGCCAAGTTCTCGCACGGCAAGTGCTCTGCCCTCATCGTGACTGACCTGGCCGCCCGTGGCCTGGACATCCCGCTGCTGGACAACGTCATCAACTACAGCTTCCCCGCCAAGAGCAAGCTCTTCCTGCACCGCGTGGGTGAGTGCCGGGGCCACCCCGCTTTCTGGTGTCGCCCAGGTGCACACAGGATCCGGCTGCCGCAGGCGGGGAGACCAAGGCCCAGGGAGGGGACTAGAGCAGGAGACACCGGGGGCGCAGCCCAGGCACCACGTGTACAGGGCCCCCGGGGATGCTGTGGTTAGAGCAGTCGGGCTAAGCGCAGAGGGAGCAGTTCGAGCCAAGCCGCTGCAGAAGGATGTGACAGTCTGCTTCTGTAAAGATTTACCGCCTCGGGAGCCTGGGGGACTATCCCCCGTGAGTCCGAACAGACTCGTGTGGCTTTTGGCTTTGTTTTCTTTTTCAGTTTGGGCATCCCTGTCCCTTTCTTGCTCAGTTCCTTGGCCACCTGAATGACCCCTCAGCACCTCCTCTCTTTGAGTCTCGGGCTCTCTTGTCAGCTCTTCCCCGGGTACCTTTGCAGCCTTTCACCTGGCATCTAAAACGGGCAGGGTCCTGGGAAGCACAGTTGATCCAGACTCACCTAGAGGCACCGTGGAAGAAAGGCCTGGCACTGTCTTCATGTGGTTCCAGCCAGACAGCCCCGTGGAACAGTTTCACTCTGACACGTGGGGTGGCCTGTGTTGGTCGGTCCTTTCTGTGACACGTGGGGTGGCCTGCGTTGATCCATCCTCTCTGTGACACGTGGGGTGGCCTGCGTTGGTCAGTCTGCTCTGTGACACGTGGGGTGGCCTGCGTTGATCCATCCTCTCTGTGACACGTGGGGTCGCCTGTGTTGGTCAGTCCTTTCTGTGACACGTGGGGTGGCCTGCGTTGGTCAGTCCTTTCTGTGACACGTGGGGTGGCCTGCGTTGGTCAGTCCTCTCTGTGACACGTGGGGTGGCCTG